CCTTTTTCTAATATTTTCTACATGTCTGGATAAAAGCTTACCACTTGATGAATACTTGTACTGTTGACATAGGAGTGTCGCATAACCCATTTTGCATCTACAATTTGATTATCCTGACATTTACACGATATGTTAATATAGATATGATCAATCTTTACTCCAAGACCTGCTTTCAATCCTCTATGATGGAAGATTCTTTATTACGATTATGCCTTTCCTGTTGAGTGCTTTGTTGTGTACAGAAAACCCTGCACTTTTCCATACTTATCCTACTTAATGTGACCTTTGTATAGAACTTGTATTGTTGTTATTACTCAAAAGTATTATTGTGCAAAAAAAATAATATAAAGCTACATTTTTTTGTTAAGTAAATAGATACCAAAATAGTCAATCCTCAAAACTGCATGCACCCACATAATGGCGAAAAACAACATTACTCAAAAGTATCAATACAAACTTTTAGTTTTGCATTATGTGCTTTACAATTGACATTTACATTGCTTGCGATTGAGTTCATATATCCATGCATGCATGAGGGGGATTTTAAGAATTTTTCATTCACAGTCCATTAAGGGTGACCTACAGGCTTCTCTAGGCTCTGTTCACACCAATGCATTTTTTAGTGCTTTTTGCAGAAACACACTACAGTCCATTTAACATGGTTTCCTATGGAACATGTTCACATCTATGCTTTTTTGAGCTGCTGCGTTTTTGGAAAGGGTCAGGGACTTTTTTAAAAGAAAAAAGCAGCATTTTTGTTACTATAGAGTTCAATGGAGAAGCTGCTGAAATGCATGGTAGTGCATTTTTGCTGTGTTTTTGCTGCGTTTCGCATTTTTATTCTGCTCAGCAACAAAGAAAAATCCACTTTAACGAAAAAAAAAAAACCCCAGAGCTGAACAAAACACAAGACGCACTAAAAATGAGTCAAAAACGCATGTAGAAAAATGCAAAAAGCACTGCAAAAGCAGACAAAAAGCAGACGGCATAGGTGTGAACAGAGCCTCACAGGTCAGTTTTGCCTGAAAGTTTGGATTTGCAGAACAAAATAGAAACAGACTAAGGAATTTTTCATTATGTCTCATGCATGCCACAAATTCCACATGTGCTATGGCCCATCTGTGTAATCTGATCTCCCTTGCTTTTCAAGTCTATTTAAACAGCTATAGGAATGGCACAGGAGGTCCAGCACCTACTGGTTCTGATTTACAAAGGGATATTTGTGTATGCTAGAAAACCGATTCTCGTGGGAAATACTATGAAACTGTGACACACAGGGACACATGAGCACAGTCTATAACATACAGCAGTATATGGGCAGAACTTATTAACAAGCATGGTTTGCTAATGAGGGTATGTGCCAACATCTGAATGTATGTTAATCCCTGACAATCCTCCACTGGCTTCCACTCGCTCAACGAATAAGATTCAAAATACTAAGAACAACTTACAAAGCCATCCACAACTCTGCCCTCAGCTACATCACCAACCTGGCCTCAAAACATCAACCAAACCGCTCTCTTTGAGCCTCCCAAGACCTCGTGCTCTCTAGTTCCCATGTCACCTCCTCCCATGCTCACCTCCAGGACTTCTCTCGAGTTTCTCATAAAGGCTGTAAAAGCAATCATTTCTCCTTCTCTCTGGCTGCATTCTTGCAGCCATTGAGAACTACTGTGTGAGCTGTGATTGGTCACAGCTTGTCACATGGTACAAGGCTGTTGTGAATAGCCTTGTACCATGTGACCTCTGTGATCATTCACAGATTTCAATGGTATTAAGCAATGATGTCAGAAGTGATATCTTGCTTACTACTCTGCATGCGATCACTGATTGGCCAATCAGTGATCACATGATCGGGACCTTACACAGAGGTCCCGTACGACGATCGGTGGGCACTGGATCGCGATGCTGCGCACTCCCAGTGAGCGCGCACAGTCCAAAATGGCGTGCGCCGTTTATGAACGGCAACCCGCCCCTGGACTGCAACCGTCCGGCCGTTTATATACAGCGGCCTGACGGCAAGTGGTTCAGTACCACAGTTTGGCGCCAAAAATTTTTCCAAAATATTGGCTTATTATTTATTTATTTATTTCAGGTACTTATATAGCGCCGTCAATTTACGCAGCGCTTTACATATATATTGTACATCCATATTGTTTCATTATATGGTTTTTTTGTTTTTTTTCCCCCCAAGGTTTTTATTCTCCAAGGTTTCCTTTATCTCCCCCTCACTTTTTCCCCCCAGCGACCAACTTCCGCTGTGAGTATTACTGGAATATCCTTTTTAGTTTCATGTGTATATAGCCTTGTTTTTTATGCATGTCGTTTAAGCTTTGTAATCCTCTAATCCGGCACTCTTGGTGTTGGTGTTTGCCGTGTGATGTAACTGACTGATCAGCCCCACCTACTGGCTTTGCCCATACAAGCCCACACAAGATGGCCACCAGATTGGCCTCATGAAGGAGTGAGCATGCTCCGAACGCGTGCCATCTTGGAAACCCGGTCCATGTGGTGACACCATCCCTGCGCCCCTCTGATACTCCTCGAACCCTGGACACTACCGGAGCGGCGGGATTACACTCAGAGCATGGCCAAAGGAACTGATGCTCCCGCTGGATCTCCATCACTTGACATGCCTACCTGTTACCTATCTATGTGAGTGCAATTTTACTATTAAATCTGCCTGATTTTAACCGTATACACTTAGAGTGGCGCTGCTGTCTCTCTTCTCTACCTGCATTAGGAGTATCTACAAGCTCATACAGCCGGCTGCCTCCTCAGACAAGTCCATACTACTACAAGCCCCCAGTGCAGATGGACTTGGACACCACCTCCACATGGACTTTCTACTAACCCCCATTGCTGATGGTCCATCCCCAAATACACACAGGGTAGATGCATCTTAATGCTCCCTCCCCCCACTCACCTCCAAGTCTTTATTGACCTTGCTTTGTGAACTGGTGCGCAGTCATTTCGGCACAGGAAGGGGCCATTCCCAAAAAAGTTGGGAGATTGATATTGTCCAAAATGTCTTTGTATGCTGACACCTTAAGAGTTACCTTCATTGGAACTAAGGGGTCAAGTCCAAACCCTGAAAAACAACCCCACACCTTAATCCCCCCTCCACCAAACTTTACACTTGGCACAATGCAGTCAGGCAAGTACCATTGGCAACCACCAAACCCAGACACATCCATTGGATTGCCAGACAGAGAAGCGTGATTCGTCACTCCAGAACACATGTCTCCACTGCTCTAGAGTCCAGTGGCAGTGTGCTTTACACCACTACATCCGAAGCTTGGCATTGCACTTGGTGATGTAAGGCTTGGATGCAGCTTCTTGGCCATGGAAACCCATTCTATGAAGCTATCTACGCACTGTTGTGCTAATCTGAAGGCCACATTTTGGAGGTCTTTGGCTATTGACTCTGCAGACAGTTGATGACATTTGTGCACTGTGCGCTTCAACATGCGCTGACCCCGCTCTGTCATTTTCTGTGGCCTATCACTTCATGGCTGAGTTAGGGGTTTGTCCTGCTATCTTTGGCAATATGTCGTTTGTTTTCAATTTTTGCTGCCTTGATTTCCTTTTTACGCATTCTGTTATATTCTTTGTAATGTTTAAACGATGGTAGCATTCCTTCATTGTTATATTTAATAAAAGCTCTTTTCTTATTATTTATAGCTTTTTTAACTTTGGCTGTAAGCCACATAGGTTTTTTTTTTAGCCTTTTAAACTTGTTGCCCATGGGAATATATTTTGCAGTGTTCCCACATACAGTTTTTTTGAAGAACTCCCATTTCTGCGTTGTGTTCATGCATGCCAATATTCCCTCCCATTCTAAGTCTTGGAGAGCAGCTCTTAGCCTTGGAAAATTAGCTCCCTTAAAGTTGAGTGTTTTTATTTTTCCTGTATGTGCTTGTAGTTTACAGCTACCAATAAATGAAATCATGTTATGGTAACTGCTACCCAGTGATTATATTAAAAGTATTGATGATTATTTGATTTTAATGTGTTCCTGTTATAATTGCCTAGAGTTCAGCTTTATAAAGTATCATTTCCCTTTAAGGCAAAAGACCAGCACTTTAATCCTCATCAAAAAGAATCTACAGGAGTCATGTAGGATTGTTTATCTTCATAACAAAATCCAGGATTTATTCAGGTATCACATGTAACATATCATAGTGCTCCGTGCTGGGTATTGTACTCTTGTCAGCACTTTGTATTAGAAAAAATGTGATTATTATGAAAAGGTGGAAAGGCACGAAGGAAAAATAATACGTCGAGCAAAAAATGATTTTCTCTCTACCGTCTGTAAACTAATGCAGCATAAAAAGAAATTACTAGAGGTAAAAAATCGCGGTTCTTAGCTCTTAATGGAAAGCAATCAAGCAATCGGAAGTGCAGAGGGAGGGTTGGAGGACAGGAAAGCATACGGTCTGCCATGAATTCAGCAAAGACGATACAAGATATAAGGCTAAAAATAAAATGTTTATCAGCCTAAGAATCAGGAGCAGCAAAAATCAGAGCATGTCGAAAAGACTGTTTATTAACCTAAACAAGATCAGCAATTGTCCCCAATTTTCAAGGGCAGTTTCAGCTAGAGTTTGGACATTTGTCCCTAAAATGTCTGTCCTCATTCTGAATTTGAACATTGCTTAGCCTAAAGTATACACTATATTGCCAAACGTTTTGGGACACCTGGCTTTACACACACACAAACTTTAATGGCATCCCAGTCAATATTGAGTTGGCCCTTTGCAGCTCTAACAGCTTCAACTCTTCTGGCAAGGCTGTCCACAAGGTTTAGGAGTGTGTCTATGGGAATGTTTGACCATTCTTCCAGAAGCACATTTGTGAGGTCAGGCACTGATGTCGGACAAGAAGGCCTGGCTCGCAGTCTCTTTATTCCAAAGGTGTTCTTTCAGGTTGAAGTCAGGACAGTCAAGTTCCTCCTACCCAAACTCCCTCATCCATGTCTTTATGGACCTTGCTTTGTGCACTGGTGTGCAGTCATGTTGGAACAGGAAGGGGCCATTCCAAAAACTGAATGAAATTGTCCAAAATGTCTTGGTATGCTGACACCTTAAGAGTTCCCTTTACTGGCCAATCCCTGAAAAACAACCCCACACCATAAAACCCCCTCCACCAACCTTTACACTTGGCACAATGCATTCAGGCAAGTATCATTCTCCTGGCAACTGCCAAACCCAGACATGTCTATCAGATTGCCAGACAGAGAAACATGATTCGTCACTCCAGAGAACATGTCTCCACTGCTCTAGAGTCCAGTGGCAGCGTATTTTACACCACTGCAACCGGCGTTTTGCATTGCAGCTGCATTGGATGCAGCTGCTTGGCTATGGAAACCCATTCCATGAATCCCTCTACGCACTGTTTTGCTAATCTGAAGGCCACAGTTTGGAGGTCTTTAGCTATTGACTCTGCAAACAGTTGGCGACCTCTGCTCCCTGTGCCCTTTAACATGCACTGACCTGGCTCTGTCATTTTCTGTGGCCTACCACGTCATGGCTTTGCTGTTGTTCCCAGTTGCTTCCTCTTTGTTATAATACCACTAACAGTTGACCGTGGAATATTTAGTAGCAAGGAAATTTCAAGGATGGACTTATTGCACAGGTGGCAACCTATCATGGTACTGCGCTTATACTCACTGAGCTCCTGAGAGCGACCCATTCTTTTACAAAGTGTTTGTAGAAGCTGTCTGCATGCCTAGGTGCTTGATTTTATACACCTGTGGCCATGGAGGTGATTGGAACACCTGAATCCAATGATTTGGAGGGGTGTCCCGATACTTTTGGCAATATTGTGTATGTAAGCCCTCACCTTGCTATATAACCCATTCCGTTTAAAATAGAAATGAAAGGCAAAACATTTGTGTATACCTATAAAAAACAGTATACATTTCCTTTTTTTTTAATAGGTCATATTCCCTCTGTTCTCAGTTGCATAAGGAGCTCAGGAAGGAGAAACAGCAGTACACTGGTCTTCCCAGTGAATGGCTGTGCAGGGAGGGGGGGCATGTCAGCACAAGTCTGATCATTGGATTAGCTCCCAGCACAACTAGAAAACTGTGCTGTCTTGAGTAGTGTGGTCAGGGACTGGCAGGAACACCAGGGATTTCACACAAAATAAACAATACAAAGAGAACAGGATACTTTTTCATACAAGTACATGGTACAGCAGGCACATATCAAAGTTGGAATTATATTCATTTTAAGGTGGACTGTTTTGCTTCAATGTAGAAGTAAACCAAATCACTAAAATCTCATATATCTTATATTCATGGCATTTCAAATGTAATTTCAGTATTTTTTTTGCAACTTTCAATAAAATAATTATAAGTGGTCCTGTCATGAAGGTCCTTGTTCAGACACTTCCTGTTATAGGGTGACAACATTCTGTCCATATCTCCCTTTTGTGTTCCTGTGTTGTCACCATGTCCCGCAGGCTTCTGATGGAGAACACATTGGCCATTTTCACATGCATTACTTAGACATGGTCTACTGCTGTCACCATCAGGAAAGTCACTCTGAGAAATGTCATGCAGCCATCACTGGAGTGCGTGTAGATAGGAAGTGGCTGCAAAGAGACTTCAGAAGATCAGCAACACTAAAAAAAAAAGGTAAAACAAGTATTTTATTTTTAAAAACTTTTATAGTTCAAAGTGCTTTAGCAAAGTAAATGTCATTCATTTGGAGTTCACATCTACTTTAAAGGGTAATCCCATTTTAGTTACAACACGCACAAGCTCACAGTTATATAACTATTAACAAATCATCCTTTTTATGCTCAGCAAAGACAATTTAAATGATAGCACACTGCTATTTTAGCAGTCTTGCTGCAATGGATAAATAAAAATGTAAAAAAAATGAAAGTGAAGCTGTAGGCTTCCAACACCCCACCTTCCTAGTGCTGCTAAAATACCCAAATGCCAGAACATTTTGTTATGTGGTCTATGCTAAATACAGGGTATTGCCCTCAATATTGATGACATTTCCCCTATGTTTTTGGTCACTTGACCAAAAGGGAACACCTTGTGCACTTGACCTTCCTGTTTTCTCCATGATTACAGCACTGTCAACTATCTCTTTGGCCTGATTTACCTAAACTGGAACAGAAGAGGGAGGTTGTAGAAAACAGAATTATATTAAATTCTGGGCAATCCTGCCTAGGAGCACCTGAAGCACCAGGACATCTTGCTGCATCTGGCTATGGATTATATAATACAAGGATTAAAATCTAAACAAGAGGGTATTCTGGCTTGAGCACAATGGCAACACTTACTGGATACTGTGAGCATCTCCCAGATTGGGTTTTCGTGTAACCTGGAGGTGATCCTTTAGAAAAGTTTCCTCATTTGCTCATGACCACTTGGAAAATACCCTGTGAATTCATAGAACTAAGTCCCTGATGGGTGTTCTTTCTTTACCAGCTGTTTCCCAAATTTCTCCATCTAGCTTCTTATTTCTACCATCCTTTGTCTACCCCTCTAATAGACAGGGAGCCCCTACAATTTCCAAACAACGACAATAGAGGCTTTCATCACACCATGTTATTATATCACAGAGAAAATGAGAACAGCATAAAGAGCTGCAGGATGGAGAGGGAACGTAGCAATTGATTATTTAGTAAAGTGCCATTATGGCAATTCATGAACAGACTGCCACAAGTATGAGACTTCTGCTTTCAGAATAAATCATTATGAAGGAACAAGTAGATATGGTGACATTAAATTTAGCCGCCAATAATGAATCAGTCTTCCAAAGGAGATACATGTTCTAATTGCCCTTAAACGCTAGGTAGGGCCTCCCTTTAACCCAAGGAAGGAGAACCTGGTTGCTTTGGGAAACTAAGATGTCTTTTCTGTTTTGCTAAGACAGTAGCAGCAGCATTTTAAAGAAGCTATTTTTTGTTGTCTGTGGTGACCAAACTGATTCCTCAGCTGAGCTGTGAAAATCAGTCAGGGAATGTGCATACCTATGTGCAGGCGCAGAATCCCTGTGATCCCTGCTCATAAGGGATTACCAGGTATGCGATCGCGCACACAGGTGTGAGAAAGTGTGCATGTGCAACAGTGCATTGGCACCAGGAGGGCTATTTAAGCTGCACTAGTGCCTTGTATCAGTGCCATTTGGTCTACTACGTTCTAGCATCTGTGCACTCTGTTCCTGAGTTATCTCCTGTTGCTGACCTGACCTGTTATTGAGTCTACCTAAACGCTGCCTGTATCGACCCCTGGCCTGTCCTTTGACTATTCTTCTGCCTGCTGTTTGTGTTTGATCTGCCTGCTAGATGCCAACCTGGACTGTCTGACCTTGCATTTACACTGCCTCCTGCACCTGAACCAGCTTTTTCCTGCTGACATCCAGCTCCTGCACTCCTGCCTACGTTAATCTGCCAGTTGCTCCTGCACTTCTGTCTGCGTGTCATCTGGCAGCTGCTACTGTACTTCTGCCAGCTGCTCCTGCACCATTGCCAGCGTGTCATCTGCCAGCTGCTCCTGCACGTCTTCCAGTGTGTCTCCAGCCAGCTTCTCCTGCATCCCAGTCGCACATCAGCATCCATCAGCAGAAGTCTTACCAGGCACTTGTGCCCCTCTGTGCTCCAGCGTTCCCTGTTACTTTACCAGGGCTCCTGAGCCAGAGCTGTAAGAGAGGTCTTCCTCTGCACTTCAGGTTCCACCACCAGGTATGTTACAGTACCAAATGGCTGCACTGACTCAGGCCATCAAGGATCTGCAAGAGGAATATACACAGTTCGAGAGCCATTTCCAAGCCCTGCCTGCACCTTCAACTTCGACTACGACAATTTCCACCAGCTTTGCCTCAGCTCCTTCTACATCCCAAGCCAGTGCTCCTGTATCTTCTACAATCATGATTCTTCCTCCTGAGCCGAGGGTTCCCACGCAAGATACCATTGCACAATTGTACGATGCTAGGCCACATTCTACTGCTTGAGACAGATGCTGCTGGTGCACCTGAGACCTACTGTTATACTCTTTGCTGCAACATTCTGTGAGTGCCCTTGTTTGGGTTGTCTTCCTGCCAGGTAGTTATGCTTTATTGAACTATAAATTCAATACAATTCTGTTGTTGCAACTGGACTCTTGAGTGTTTACTGCCATGGCACCACGCTGCACCTCCCAACACACTGACTACTAAACCACAATGTTCAGCACTTACTAAGGGCTAGGGTGTTGAAAGGAGTAGGAGGTCTTAGGATTTACAAAAAGAAGCCCTACTATTCTACACTCCATCAAAGACCAGTTGATGCTGAAAAATGTTGATGAAGCTTGAGTAGTTAGCTGGATAATTAAGGAAACAAATTGATTCCCTGCACTGCTGCTCTTCTCTGGAAACGTCTATCCACAGAACTGGTTAGACATGTACAGTTTGTTTTGTTCTGAATAGAATTGTGGAAGACTTTTTCATTATTTGGAGATTCGGATATATCCAAATTTCCAATTTCCAATAGTAACCAATACCAAATAATGATGGAAATTCGGACAAAATTCAGACAAAATTTGAATTCAAATTGAATTTCACTGGAATTCGAATACATTTGAATATGAAAAGAATAGAATAGAACATAAAAGAATATAATAGATTAGAAAAGAATAGAATAGAAAATAAAAGAACAGAATAGAATAGAAAAAAAAACAATAGAATAAGAATAAAATGGAATATAACTGTCTTCTGAAATTCAGATTTCAAATAGAATACATTTGAATGCCAATTAAATTTTTCTGAATATGGTCAAATTGAATTTAAATCAAATCTGAATACAAAACAAAATTAATTCAAAAAGCGGAAAAAGAATAGAATAGAAAATAATAGAATAGGAAAACCAATAGAATAGAATTCAGTAGAATAGAATAAAATAGAAGGAATATAACACTCTTCCGAAATTCAAATTTCAAATAGAATGAATTTGAATCTGAATAGATGACATTAGAATAAAAAAAGAATAGAAAATAAGGGAATAGAACAGAATAGAAAAAACAATAGAATAAAATAGAATATAACTGTCTTTCGAAATTTTAATTTTGAATAGAATAAATTAGAATTTGAATGCCGATTTGGTTGAATTGAATTTGAATCGAATTTTAAAACTAAATGAATTCTGAAAATTAATTAAACAAAACAACATTATTTAAATAACAAATCAAAACAAAACAAATGTTTTCGTTCTGCACATGTCTAGCCCTGGCCCCTAGTAGTATACTGACTATGCTAACAGCTCTTCTGCTGCCTGTCTTTGATTTATATACAGCATATTAGAATCAGTTGCTCTATTGTCCCAATTCATATTGCCAGCTGTTACAGAGCGAGGTCCCTGGATGCTCCATCAAAGTTTTGCTATATGGTCCAGTCCAATAATTGTAGTTGTGCTTCAGACCTGAGAAAATAAACAAATTGAATTATACATACCAGTTTTATGATTTGTCTCTTAAGGCATTCCTTCAATTGAACATCCAAAAGCCAAAAAACAGTCACTACACACCCACCCCCTGGACCCCCCTAAGCCACACCTATGGTGATCCTCTGGATTCGGTGCTTTAATACAAACAGTATTAAAGCTAAAGGATTAGTATGAAAACTGTCATTTTCAGAATAAGGGGGTCAGCTTAGATAGTTCTCATTTGACAGGTTTCCTTTACGGCCAATAAATTAGACCAATGCGTAGACAAGATTATGGACCTTATGT